ATGTTGTTCTCTTGTATCCAATATTTTTACATATTGAACACTTATTTTTTTCTTGTTAGAAGTGACTAGTTCTTTTTTGTTCTTGAATGTCATTCCTATGTAAAAACCTGTCTCATCATTTTGAATATTGTTCAACTATTTTAACTGAGAACTGCCCCTTATATCAACAATGGGAGTAGGTGTTTGGTCCTCCTCAACATCATGTCCAATCTCATCATCTGAAATATTCATGTTCATCCCATTTAATTCATCATTTAACAGATTTTCTTGGTCTTGTTCTACATTTTCATTCTCTATCAATTTTTCAACAACGTACACCCTTAAAACGGACCTAGTTGCATCACTCAGATAAGCATGCAAACGAAGTTGATTGCTTATCTTAAAAAGTATGACCCTCTGATTTTCAAAAGACTTGTGCATGTAACTGATGACAAGATCATTTGGTTGACAATTTAGTTCACAATAGCTAATGATTGAGTTCACAAAATCATTATACAAAATATCCCTTTGGACGGTCATCAATACTGACTCTGACATGTCACCATCCTTCCAACGCCAAATAAATCGATTGTTTTTCTCAATCAATTCATCATAACAATCAACAACTATTGTTATTGATTCTTCCATTAATGGTACCTAAAGGAATTTATTAAAAATATTTAATAATGATTGTATAGTAAAGTTGAGTGGCAATATACAGTTAAAAATCATATGCACAATCATTGTCCCAACAAGTCAATCATCTATTGCAACAAGTCATCCATTGCAGCAAATGATTCACTTGTTGCAATTAATGATTCACTTGTTGGATACATGTCCAGAACTAGAAGTTTATCCAACATGTAAGTCAATTGTTGTAACAAATGAGTCATCTGTTGCAACAAATTTTTGGTTTTGTCCTAGTTTGGCCTGACACTGTAACATGTATCCAATGGGTAAGCCATTTGTTGAAACAGATGAGTCGTCTGATGCAGCAGATGACTCATATGTTACAATAAATGACTTATATGTTGTGACAAGCTTCTGGTTCTTTCCCAGCTTGGCTTGATACTGTAATATGTATCCAACAGGTAAGCCCTCTGTTGCGACAGATGAGTCATCTGGTACAGCTGATGACTCATCGGTTGCAATAAATGACTTATATGTTGGGACAAACTTCTGGTTCAGTCTCAGCTTGACATGGTATTGTAATATGTATCCAACATGTAATCTATCTGTTGCAATAGATGACTTACCTGTTGGGTACGCGGTTGTAAATTTTTGAAGAAACATTCAAACTACCAAAATGAAAAATTAGAGTAAAAATCATTAGTTTACTTACCAAAATCACCTATGATGTAATGCTTAATGATATATGAATGAAAATTGATCTTAAAGCAGCAGTACAATGTGAATATCAACTGAAGAAGAAAAAATGATGCACAACCAGAAAAAGATGGTGAAGAAGAAGAAGAAAAATGATGGTGGAGAAGAAGAATGAAGAAGAAGAGCAGCAACAATGGTTCCCAACAATGGAAGAATAAGCAAGAGAGAAAAAGGTAAAAGTGAGCCGTTGGTACCCTTTTTTCCCCTCAATTTCTTATTATTTAGGGTTTTATATAAGATGGACTGAACTGTAAAATAAAAAACTTAGGGATGAAAAATTCAACCCTTAATTCTTAATTTAAAATTATCACCCTACTCAATAATTAAGACTTGAGTCACCAATCCCTAATTTTGAAACTTTTTTATAACCCTTAATTCATTGTCCCGTCAAAGATTGGACCTTTAATTCGATTGTACCCCTGAACTTAAAATTTTGTACACCAAATTTAGTACATTCTATAGTTGTGAAACTTTTTCTTTAAAAAAACCAGTTTAACAACAGATAGATAGCAAAGCTTAGATATCTAAGAGAAAATGCAGCATATTATTGGATCATCTCAGCACTATACGTCCTATCTAAATCCATGGTAGGAAAATACTACTTCCTGTAACTTCACCTTTTATTTGGCCTACTACATAGATCATACTCTCTCTATCCCATTTTATATGAGGTAGTTTGACTCGACACGGAGTTTAAGAAAGAAAGGAAGACTTTTAAAACTTGTGGTCCAAAATGAATGACAGAAATTTGTGTGACTGTAAATCATTTCATTAAGGGTAAAATAGACATTTTATAGTTAAATTGTTACTTAATATAGAAATGTGTCATTCTTTTTTAGACTGACTAAAAAGGAAAGTAAGTCACATAAATTGGGACAGAGGGAGTACAAATTAAGAATACTTAATTGAGATACAAATGCTTCACTATGATTCGAAAGTAAAATCACATTAGCTCCAAACTTTACCAGTGTATAAATCAATGCATGTTTAGTGTAAAATAGGAATATGTGTTAGAACTCACAAGTTCCTTTCTTTCTCTACAAAGTGCAAATTGTAATATACATAAATATAAGTAGGATTTTCGAAAATTAATAAATACATACATGCGACAGTTGTGACCTGCGTTGCTGATCAACGATGTGGGGTGGGGTGGGGTGGCGCGATGGCTCTTAGGGTGAGAAAGGTGTTGTTCTGCGAGCTAGGGCTGAGAGAGGTGACTTAGGATTTTGAGAGAAATAGGAAAATAATTATCATTCTTTTTTTCTAAAAATAAGTGGTAATTGTTGGTATTTTTAAAAATAATTATCTATATTAATATATCGATATCTTGAAGTTGGTTTTGTCAATTCAAATTATTAAAAATATTTAATAAATATCGACATCGTGAAGTCGATATTATTTAAATAAAATAATAATTTAAATAGATTGACTTCTAGAGGTCGATGTTTATTAATTTATTTTAATATGAACCGACATCTTGAGGTCGATTTTATTAATTAAAATAATAAATATATATATATGATCATTTGGTTTAACACAGCTCGATGAATATAATCTTCGAAAATCAACTTATTTCATCCGTCTCTAATGAATTGTCGTTTAGCTTTTTGCCTTCGACATGATCACTACAAAAACATCCATTCAAGTTCGGACGTACATATATTGATAGAACTTAATTTGTACAATACCTCACGAGTATATATGTATTACCACCTAAAGTCAATGATTTATCTGTGTTTTGTTGTCCATTTTAAACAAGACAAGACATAATTCAAGGATCGACGAATCATTAACATATATAAAACTTGATTTACTGTGACTTCTCTACAAGTATCACATCGTATTTACCTCTCAATTGATACCAACGCTATTCCATACTCTGAATATAAATTGTAAGTGATTCTTTATTACTCCATGAATTTTATTTTTTTAATAAAAATATACAATTATTAAACTTTCAAAGAAATAGCGTAAAATGAAAATATTAGTCTTATACACAATAGAAAAATAATGATTAATAAATATAATATATTTTTTTCAAAAATGACCTCTAAATGTCGTTTTTATTATAAATAATTAGATTACGTATAAACAAAACATACCAACCTCCGGAGGTCGGTATTACATATAAATTTAATGAAAGATTAAATAATAGCGACCTCTGGAGGTTGATATCTTACATTAATTTATTTTTTATTTTATATAAGGTGGAAACTAATTAAATAAAAGTAAAAATATTGACTTATTGCAGTCACTATATACACATTTTAATGAAAAATAATTTAATTATATAAATTTTAAATTTTACCGACTTCAGAAGGTCGGTATTATAATTTTGTTTGTTTTATATGATACTTGAAAGCAAGTCATGCTATTATAAACACTCTCATGTTGGATTCTAAACCTATAGATTTATAATACTCTTTTCTAGTCAAGGAAGTTATATGTTTCGCATAACTGTATGTGTCTTTAGTTGAAACTCTTAGAAGCTAGAGGGTGTATATGACGCATAAATTTAAAGTAAACATAGAGTTTCTTTAAAATACCAAATCATGCCGAAATAGTGTAGACATCAAATCATAGTAAACTACTAATAGATAATTTTAATCCCTAATTTACATAATTAGGGTTCACAAAATTAGGAGAAACATTAATATTAATGGAAAATCATTGGTTCTTAAACAAGACTCTAGATACCACATGTAAGGATTTAAGGGATTGTGAAGACATAAACAATCTAAACATTCATAAATCTTATCAATTATTCATGATCATAGAATTATATGATTTTCACATATATATAAATGTAATAATTCAATCAAAGAACACATACCCGAATCATGTATGGTGTTCTTCAAGAATCTTGACTTGAATTGAGCGAAAGTCTTTTCTTTATTGTTCTTCAGAAGTTGTTTCTCTCTCTTGCCTTACACTTTATGAATACCTTTGATGGATAAGACTATACTTTATAGCAGAGAGAAGACCCTTTTAAACTAGAGAATTTTTTAATGTTATTCCCACTTTCCATCATTGTGAGTGGTGGAGATGGTGAGTAGTTTTAAAACTACCAAGTAACTCCCATCTTTATGGATAGTTGAGAGTTGCCATGTAACTTTCCTTCTCCATCTTTACGGGTAGTTGGTTCCCACTTCCTCACACATGTATAGAATTTAACTTGTTATTAATTATTAAATCAAAATATAATTACGTAGGCCATCGAAATTTACAAAACATAGAAAAGAGAAATAATTGATTGAGAAGACTGAGTTTTCATAAGCTTTGGAGTTTGATTATCAACTTTACATGTATTTCTCCATCAAAATTAAGAGTACATTTGTGTTAATGTATAATATTAGTATATTTGGATTAACATTTTGCTTGGATGGTTGTTACGTATTGTTTCATAATGTATTGTATTGTGTTGTACTATATTAATTTAATGAATACAATATTTGGATAAATTGTCTCTTTTCTATCGTTACATGTTTATAATTTGGATGATAAACCTACAAGAAAAATAGGGTGCGGGTAGAGCCAGAACGAAAAGGTAGATAAAAGATGAAATATGATTATTAAATAATAAATAAAATCAAATTGAAAAGAAAATTTTAAGGTAACTTTTCGTCTATGGCTGTATGTGTTCAATATTGATGAACTTTAAGGACTAAAACTCACATATATCCCTTAAACCCTTGTTCTAACTTCCCAACCTCTACAATGGAGTCTCTGTTAGGGTTTATCGAACCATCAGCTGACGAAACTGTGGAAGGCAACTCTCTAGCTCTCAAATTGGTGCCATGGATAAGCTGGGATGAATGGAACTCTATTCGAGATTCCCTTTTCTCTTCTTCTCCTCAATCTGTTGCTTTTGCTCTTCAAAGGGTAACGTCCAAAACAAAACTTTTTTTTTTCTTCCTTCCGATAAAACTGAATGGATACTTATTATTTTTTTGGATATTAGATATCGACCTGGAGGAGCAGAGGATGCATTCCTGTCGCAGTGGATGTTACGGCTTCAATTATAGAGATTCAACAGAAAGATCCTTTTTTCAGGTGATCCTTTATTGATTTTTTTGTTTGTAGATATTCAATTATTTATTAAATTGCTATGTTGAGCTATCATTTATGTTTTTCGCTTGGATTTCTTACAGTGAACCTTTTTCTTGCTACTTTTTGCAGGAAGGACCTAGGTGGAAATGCTCTGCAGTCAGAAGAAATGCTTTCAATGCTATATTGTATGGCAATTATGAGGTACATTTGTTACTACTTCCTTTTTTTTTGTTTCAAAATTCCCTCCATTTGTATGGCTTATGAGAATGACTTTTTTTCCACTTAAGTTGTATTACTTGTGTTAATACAACTGCACCATCAATAAGTTGTGATGTTATTTACACTATAATATCTTCTATATTTTTCATTCCATATAGTAGAAAAAAAGACACAATTAGCGATGTTTTCTGCAGCTTCCTTGTTGCTGCAGATCTTCGCATGTGATGCTTCTCCCAATGTCCTTGGTAGTGTTATTTTAATTAATATGAAAACACAATTGGATGAACACTGAGACTGTTACTTTGGTTGAGATTCCCTTCTTTAAGCTTCAGTTTATTCATTTTCAACATTTCATCTTTTCCCTCTTTATCTGTGAGGTACTGTGATTTAAATGGTTGAACTTTAGGATAGCAGCCGTGTGCGGATGTGCTTGTATTTTTAGCAAGCAAAATCAGCATAACAATGGTAACTACTTTTCAGGCTTGTAAATGGTGTTGTTGAGAAGACTCGAAAGAAGGCCGAAATTTCGATAGCTGAGGCAGCAAATGCTATTGGCATTCCACGCATGCTGATTGATGTTCGCCATGGTGAGTGTTTATGCATATTTGCTACTTTGATATGAAGTTATTGATCGTTTAATATAAGTCAGCTATACATAGTATTGACCAGAGTAAATTTCTGTTACAGCTTTTGTGATATAGTGACCAAATAAGATAGCTATCAAGATGTTGCTTTATATTCTGAATCTGGTGTAGGCTTAAAGAAATTGAGAAGCTTATAGGATATGTTGCTTGATCTTTGCATCAGTTAGCAATGTTTGTTTTGTTGTGACTTATGATTTTCTAACTAATTCTAATGTGAAAAAGCTGATTTCTTAACATTGGTTAATATTTCCTTGTAGAGGGGTCTCATCGTGATCTTCCTTCACTGCAGTTGGTCCGTCTTGCCTCTACCAAGGTCAATGTCTTCCTTAGTCTCTATAATTTTTTGCTTAATATGTACATCTCTTAAATTTCACTTACAGTTGAAAGCTTGAAGCTGCGACTCCTCCTGAAGTTCCATTCCTTTTTAAGATTAATGGTCGTATTCATAATGGATTTTCTGTTATCAATACTAAGATGTATTGTGGTTTATAATGGTAAAACTAATTGGAGGAGGTACAAATTTATATTTGGTTAGAAATAAAGCCTAGAAAACCCTTCGGGGTGGCCTAGTGGTTTGAGCTTGGGACTTCCATGTTGGAGGTCTCAAGTTCAAAACCCCTTGCCAACGAAAGCAAGGGGTTTGCCTTCTGGGTCGAGCTCGTCGCACCAGGCTTGCCTAGTGCGGGTTACCTCTCCTTTGTGGTTTGCAAGCTATTGCATAGGAGCGGGGGTTTTACCCTGTGCGCACCCAAAGGGTAGCGGCTGTGGGTTTACCTTGTCATAAAAAATAAAAAAAAAAGAAAGAAAGAAAGCCTAGAAATGTCCCTGCCAGGCGATAACATGCATGTGGCATATCTTCTGCTTCAGCAATAGATTTTTCTCATTCTCTAGTTATCAAAAGATGATTGATTTCTGGGAACTGTATATAGATGTGTCTACGAGGCATCCATCCAGAAAAGAAAAAGAGATGTAGCTGTGAGGCTTGTGCCATTCTTGATGCTCCCTTTTCAGCCCTCAGCTATACTGAATAAACATACTTCAAACCCTTGTAGAATTGTGTTGCAATGGAGATCCTCTTGAATAGTGCCAATTTCCATTTAATGTTGTGGCTTTTGTAGGATCTACGGATTATGCTACAATCTTTTTGGATCACTGAAAGGCCTCTAGCTACCAATTATCAATCATGATTCTTACAACCTTTATACATTAACATTGAATGAATTCAGCTAGATGAAAATCTGTCTAACAAAAATAAGTAATAAATCAAAGGAAGGAAATGAAGACTAGTGATAATACGCAATCAAATTAGGATCAGACTGACGAAAAGGACTAATTCATAATTTTACCGTCCTTCTGAGTAATTATAAATCCCATTTTAATTTTCCCCATATTTTTCTATGGGCTCATTTTTTGTCCATATGGTTGAACATATAGTCCAAATCACTTTTCACAGGTGAATTTGATGAGCATTGTGTGTCCCCCAGGTCCGTGAATAGGCCTAATGTTTTCTGATTCACGTGCTGCTAATTAGAAAAGACCTTGTGTATTGCTCAAATGATGTTATTAAATGTATAATCTTCTTGTCATGCTCATATATATGTAAGAGTGAAAAAATAGAAAGTTTCAGCTGGATTATGTCTTAAATGATAATAATTTCAGGCGCTTGACTGGTTGAAATCATATTATTGGGAACCTCAAAAGAATGTGATTCGAAGGGATTCAACTGCCAACCTGAGGAAAGAAATTAAACATAAACTGCTAGAGATGGCTTTCTGCTTGAAAGTGAAGCAGACTAACAGTTCACATACTTCGGGAAAACGTGAGTGAATTTTCCTTATTCCTATTGCATTGTGGTGGTTTTGCCAACTGATGTTACTCATTAATCAGTTTTCTTGCATCTGATTGCTAATCTGCTTGATTTCTATTACATTGTAGTGTTTTCTTAGCACCTGTAGGTATGACCAATAAATTATGTTCGGTGCAAAAATTCCATGTATGATGCAGCATTGCAGCTAATTCAAAGAATTAAGTTGTCATAAATCGTGTTAACTTTAAATTTATGGGATTTGAGCTTTGGTCCTTTTCACTTGAAAAGACTATGAGTAGACAATGTAAGACATTATGTTTGCTAAGAAGCTGAGATGGTTGACTCTCTCAAATAGATAGCTGAATTTTATGAACTTTTCTTAGCTATGCAGGGGTGTATACCGTGAACACCTAATTTTTGAACTATTTTAATTTCTCCTCAAGTTGACAATTTTTAGCTTAATTTTTGTTTATTTCAATCCCTAGAACTTTTGGTTTTGCCCATGACCTTTGGCATGCCTGTTTATGGTGGTGCTTGTCCTGACCGACCTCATAGACCCATGTATTAGTCTCACAGTGTGATTGTGAGGTGCTCAACAAATGCGGGTACACGTGTGGGAAACTTCTCATAGCTTGGTAGTTATGACAATCTTGAGCAGTGTAGGCGGCCAAACCATGGACTTTCTCTCGAAGTGATTGGAAATCTGATCTCATCCCTTTAATTGTTGCTCATAGGTGGTGACTATCTCTCTTATGTGTTGATCACAAGCCAAAACTAACTCCCGTTGTTCTCGTAACCTCCCCCTCTCACGCATACATTAATCCTACAATGCACGAAAAAAGAAAGAAAAATCGTTTTGGTATTTTGTGAATGAGGGATGCAGTTAAAATGCACCAAAATTGGGAAATCAATTAAAATAAACCAAAATTTAGCTAAAAAATTTCAACTTCAGGAGAAATTAAAATAGGGCAACATATACTGCAAACTTCTGTTGTACAGGGTTGTTTTCTTATGCCAAATTAGGTCGTAGATTGATTACCTGAAGTCAGTTTCTTTTTCCAAGTACCATGCACCTTCTACTTTTCTTACTTTATTGACCTACATTTGTGTTGAGCCTCTGTCACTTTGATCCAAATACACGATATTTTTGTGGCAACATGGAGACTAACTGGTAAGTAATCGTATGCTCCATGATAAGTTTGTTGTTTACATTCTGTTCTCTCTTACTAAATCTCATCAAATGTGAATTATTTCATAACCCAAGGAGAAGAATAGGACTCTTTACCATTATCATAACCTCTCGATGGGAAATGGAACTTAGATCTCGATGTGACTGTTTTGTGTACAAAAGAAGTCATGGAAGCTCTTGGACACTCTTTCCCACGATTGGCGTCGTTTGAATTAAATTTCTCATGGATTATTGAACCACATGATGACTCTGATGATCGATGAAGTGGGATGAGAACCATGAGCAAGAAATCACTTAGTGTTTTGTTTCGCTGGGATTTGAACATAAGACCTCATGACCTTCATCCCACTTCATTGACCACTAGCGCAGAAAGTTACCCTGGTAAAGACCATGTTATTATAGTAACTAATATTTAATTCTTATCTTCTGTTGTCTAGGAACATTTGAGTGACAATGCATGTCTATTTTATCATGTCAGCAAAGTTGACAGGAATGTCAACCTCCAGAAGTAAATTAGTGTGAAGTTCAAAAATATTTCAAAAAAAAAAACATGTCTATTGCATCAAGTTGTCAAAGTTGACAGTAAGTAATGTCAGCCACTAGATGTAAATTTATGTGAAGTTCAAAAATAGGTTTGAAGGCTAATTTTATGGGTGGCTTATCAAGGGAAAGTTGCATTTCATAATATCCACCCTTTCAAGAAGGTGATGATGTTATCAGTACATGACAACCAGACGATATAATTGCAGAACAAGTATAAAGAAAGGGAGTGAGAAGTATTTTCTGTACGAAATTGATTGACATTATGACATTCCATATCACCTCTTACTGGGATTATTTTTTTTTTAATCCAATTCTTAAAAAATAACTAATGCAAATTTTCTGGCTTTCTTCTCTGTCATACATTTACTATTTTTCTGTTTTTTTTTTCAATAATTTTTGTTCGCTTATACAGGAATGAGACTTGGGCAACTTTGTGCTAGAAACAAGTTTCTCCCTTTCATTTCTGGGAATCTACCATATTCTAAAACTTCTGGTAATTCTATTCAGCCTCAGATCTGTAACCTCATGGTTCATTGACAGTGTTCCTGCATCTACTTTATGAGCTTCTTTTGCCCATCTTCTGCACATGAAAGTATTGGCACTTTACACTGATTTGCTATATCCACCTTAATGACCTGCAACAATTTATTGAAAAATGAGCATTAAAACATTATGACTATTAAAGCATCAGTACAATATCAAATTTATGCACTGATAATATTAGCATGTTAGTTCATTTATAAAAAGGAAAAAACATTAGCATGTTAGTTCAATGAAAGATAGAGTGAGATGAACTAGTGTATCCTTTGAGATTTACAAGTGTTCACACGGCAGATTTCAGGAATGTTCGGTCATCAGCCGCCACCATTTGGGATTTTGTCAAGGTTTCATAAACTGTTGAATTCAGCATCTTTTCTATTTGTTTATATTCTTATAATTCTGTCTGGAGTCTAAATCTGACATTGACATTGACATAGTAATTAGGGTATAGAGTTACTTTCTGTGAAGTCGTGTATGATTTCTTAATTCATGAAGGTGGTTCATACTGGATTTTTGCTTTTTGAAGGGTATATATTGTCTGTGACACTGTTCCAAAGTGCTTTACTATCAGCATATCTGGAATGCTGAATGTCCTGAGTTTTTCCAGAACAATTTGTCTCAGGTTCTAAGAAACAGATTACTAGAGCTATGAAGGCCATTCTTCGATTATATACTTCCTCATCTTCAGAAGTGGCATCTGTGCTTTTGGAACTTATGCTTCAGACAGTAGATTCCTCAAATTTTCCAGGGGACTCAGAGAATGCCCTCACAATCCATGAAACTATTGACATGCACAGTGCATATGATGACTGGAAACCAATCCTGAAGAAATTGTCAAACAGAGAACCGGATTTGCTTCTGACTCTTCTCAGGGCAGCTATAGACAAGATTGAGACTATGGGAGCCTCAAAGAATCAGCTTGGTAAGTGATGTATTCTGGCATTTCCTTTACTTGGATGATTTCTTGTGCTTGGTATTGTCGGAGTATCATGAATGCCTCTGTTGAAGATAACACTTATACTATATGAGACTGGAAACACGCAGATAGCTATTGATCCTGTTCTTATGAGCAACTGGTTAATTTGGGACATTGCTAAAATAGCTACTGGGAGCTATATAAGAATTTGTGCCATGGATGCTGAAAATTTCAACTGTTCGTTAGTGTTTTATTGAGCAGAGTGCTGAATCGTATCCTTGTTTGTGGGGGTTTCTTGCTTTCACCGATGTGGGAATGCAGCTTGCGGATTATCATTTATCACATACTATTTTGCTAGCTATTGTGTAATGATATTATTGTCATATTACAGTATTTGTTATGTCCAGTTCATCTAACAAGGGAAGGCACAAAGACATGAAAAAAAATTGTCTAGCTTAACTTACTGGGAGGATTTGCTTAGTCTACAGTAGTGTAAACTGCTCTTTCAAATCCTGCTGTTTTCGTTTTACATGTGTTTCATTCTTAACTTTTTTTCCCAATCCACATCTGTATTTGTGTGCTATCTTTTTATTATGTTTCTCTCAGTTATATGATTTTCATTTGCTTCATGTAGTCGAATGGGTTTTAGCTTAATTTCCTGTTCATCATTGACTCATTTCTTTTACGGATTATTGTCAGGTGCAAATGCCCTCTCAGGAAATGCAAATGAATCTCTTTTGATTGGACAATTATCTTACCTGTGTGAACAAATAGTTGCAAACCTGAAGACACTTAAGCCTCTTAACAATAATGATCTTGCTGCTGACGGGGAAAACTCTTCAAGAAAATTTAGTCTTCCAGAGGCAACGCTACAAGAACTACTACATAAATGTTTATTCTTGTCCTCTAACAACAACAATCAGCTGATGAAATCCGCTCTTGTCATTGCTCAGATGATTGGAAGGAACTCTTTCATCGTAAAGTTAAATAAGCTCTGTTCACTGAGTGTATTTGATTCAGAGATTATTCACTCAGATCCTTCTACCAATAATTCAGAAAGATTCCTACTATCCAGGGAAGAAGATTCTCTTCGCAAAGCTGCTCAGAAGCTTGAACTAATTATGCGTCGAGTTGTAAAGGGCAATAACATGAACACAACAGATACCGGGAGCCAATGGGTAGTTGCAAAAACATGGAAAGCATGCCCCATTGGTATGCTCCCCCATGCATTTGGTTCCACTGGTCGTCTTCCAATTCTTGATTTTGTTGATGATTCAGCAGAAGTTGCCAAATCATCAGACAATGAAATCCCAGAAACCAATAAATGTGGATGCAAGCGGGAGGCTGCTTCTGCGATTGAATGCTTGGATGATCCTAATACAAAGAAAATGAGAAAGACAGAGGAGCCTGGTGATAATCAGTACACGGAGAATATGGAGATTGAAAATGGCCATAACGACGTGCCTTTGGAAGGTTCAAAAGGCCAACTGATGATTGATGGAGTGTGGAAGAAGGTTTCAATAGAAGAGCTGCGTGATATTGCAGCAGCTGTGAAGATTTTTGATTTAACCAAACCCTTGTGAGATGCCTTGCATGGGATGGGGGTGGGGTGGATTCTAAGAGAGCAAAATGAAAAGGGTTCTGTTTCTGTTGTAAATCTGCCACCGGTTTTGTAGCTTGTAATTTTCTTATCTTTTTTACCTGCTTAACGATGCTGTTGGATTTTGTATTTAATATAATACAATTTTAGTTATGCTACAATTTACATATTGTTTTATACTAAAGATTAGTAGCATTACGTGTATTACATACATCATATAAATGACGAAATGTGCTTTTATTTACTTTCTATAGTTACAATTGGTTCGAAATAAATTCACTTTGGAAGAGGAGGTCTGATTTTTAACTCTTTTTTATCCCATAACAATAATAACATATCCCGTGACATTCCACAAAGTGGGGTCTAAAGTAATAAAATCAAATTTTCGTTGGATTATGGATAAGTGATTTAATATGAGCCAACGCCCCATGGTATTGCTAGAACAAAAAGGCTCAATGCTTATTTCAACAAACAGCTCGGGTAGATAGATCTTCTTATAAGTCACTTTTGCATGACAAACTCAAAAGGGCTAAGGGATATTTTTGCCCATAGCAATGAGTCCAGTCATGAAGATCCAACAGAAGTTTAAGATAAACAACATTAACATAATTCAGATACCAGAGGAATATAAGTTCATATTCATCCTTCAGATTATCGGATATTCTTCATATGAACACTATTGACTTCACTCAACGTCTGAAGAAACAAAGATTCTATGCCTATCTAAATATCCTGCCAAAAGAAGTAGCTACAATAATATACGACGAGTAGCTACCATGATCACAGTAGATTAGGTAGATTTCTACTATAAATGTATATGTACATCCCATTATCTGTAAAAAAATTCTGGCTAGTTGTTGATCCTGATGATGTCTTCTTGGAATCTATAACTTCCAGCAAAAAGAAAAAGTCAAAACTCTCTAAAATCAATTATTCTGCGCCTCAGCTTTCATCTGCATGATAGTCAGAGTTGAGTCAGTACAATATCCATGAGAGTGAAATTGAAGAGGAAAAAGATAGAGATGTTAGAAAATGCCATAACCATCAACCAGCAGATTGTGCAACAATTAGAAGAATGGTGCTACGATAATTGAATACAAGTTTAACTTTCAACTATATGATGCTTGCGGTGAGAAAAGAAAACGCACATCAGGACTGGGAGGTGGAAGCTTTATTACACAATTTTAATTAATAAGGCTATTAGGAATACTAAATATGGCCCATGCTCAGTTTTGGGGTAAATATAAAATGCCTCGTGGTTCTTGACGAAAGAAGAAAAATAGAAGGTTAAATTCAGCAGATAAAAAGGATTTCAACAAAACCACCTCATGTGATGTTGTAAGGAACTATAGGGCATCATGACTTCTTTTGCAATGCAAAAGGAAGAGGATGTTTTTCATCTGGAGAAGAAAACGGCTGAATGTAATAAGCAGAAAGTGAATTTTTCTGTCCTTCAGAATGAAAATTTACATGCAAGAACATTTAGAAGTCAGCCTGATCCCCAACAGAACTCCATAAACGCAAGCGCAAAGCTATACTCTCTGCTCTAACCACGCTGGTCTTTGAGGATAGAGTTTGCCATTGCCGAATTAACTCCACATCCTCAATATGTTTCTGATCTCTACCATCTAAGGCTGTTTATTGTATCGACTGAACAAGAAATAGCTAGGATTTGGAACCAGCTCAGTTCCTTATTCAGTAAAAACAGTGCTCAATTGTACATCTCTCCATCTTCAACCAACACCGATCTTGATAACTTGTCCTTGTCATTCACAATGTTTTTATACTCTATGAATCTACCGGGCTAAGATTGATGTCTATGTACATGGAAGAGATATCTGAAATGATGGAAAAAATCCAAGTACCACAGGTGGATAGCTATCCATCCACACTTGTCACCAAAATCCTCTTCTTCCTCTTCAAGCGTGAATAAATGCTGTAAAGCAGTCAAGAAGTAAGAGCATCCACCTCCGGTGACCCCTGCAACATGCAATCAACTTCTGCCTTTGATGTGAAGCAGTAAGGCAGAAGGGCATCCCCCAGGTTTGACACTTAAACACTTCCACATCCACATGCTATTTCAGCCATTGGAGTCACTTGAAAGCCAGAATAAACAACCAAACAACCATTGAGCTTTTTCACTTTCAAGTTTCTATTTTGACCAATGAAATATTGTCTCTTTGCCTGCTCTAGGTGATTGCATGTTCAGTTCAACAATAAAGTTGGCAAGGCCACCGCCACTCTGTATAACTTATTGGATACTCCCGGTCTCTAGCCTAAGAGCAGCTCTTTTCACTCACTTCCAGTCACCTAACAAGTAACAGTTAATCTTTGTCCTCAAAACTCTGTATGTATTAGTCATTGCTATGTGAATTTCACAATAGTTTTTGCTTATGTTCTGTATCAAATGAAAGGATGATTGATGGAACTTAATACCAAACTGTCTAAGCCTGAATGAGAGGAAGATAGAAAGGGGTTAACACTAAGTTTGGACCAGTTCAAATAACAAACCTTCGAACCCTACAAGTCTAGTCCTTAATTCGGCCTACTAATAAGAGAGAATACTACGAGAAGAGCACGACCCAGCTAGGAAGATTGAAGCTCACTATCAAGCAACCATCCCAACCCTATCTAGCACAAGGAACAGGAGCACGAGCAGCATCTTAACCCACCATTTCAAAGACCAAATGCACACCACATGACAGAGATACCTATACTGTTCTCATGCCATCACAAGTCTCATCAACGTCAACTATCAGTCTATCATGAGTCGAAGGATTGATTACCTATACACCTGTTATCTCCGTTAAGGGTACCCATAAATGCAGCTATAAAAAATTGTTAGACTTACCAAAAGCAACCACCCTATAGCTACAAAAACCATATAGAGGACCCAGACACATAATTGATATGAACATCGGGGTCTAATCCTCTGGCTCATCTAGACTTTATTCAATCATATTGTCTTTTGCTCATCCACAGTGCTTTGGAGTTAATTTTCCCCACAAGGATTGAGGACCACCGGACCGCAAGCAGGTGGGAGCTCATTGGGCATGGTTATCAAAATCTGTTGTCCCTTTTTGAGTCAAAAAAGAAGCAGCAAGAGATCTGAGTTCACAATGACTAAGCTCATCACTAGTCAACATCATCAGTCAACTCTGAAGGAAGAGAGACAGACACTCAAAGGGCTTCACATAGATCATCAGCCCCCTTTTCCGGTCAGCAACTAGGAGTCTAGGACCGAGTTGGATCATCATCATACGTACCAAAGTTCAAAAGTGTTGAGCTGATTCAACATTTTCTCTTTCACCTATTACTTGGTTGCAATTTGAGAAAATGGTTTCCTTCTTTTTCTTTTACAAAAAATATGATATAATACCATAATGGCCCTACTGGTAACTACACAAAGTTCTAGTTTCAATCCACTGACTTGCACAACAACTTAAAGAAGAAAACCCACATTTTAAAGTGAGCTAGAAGTCTACATGTAGCACAAAAGAGAATAGGTTAGATATACATATCTGCTTAATAATTAAGTCATTTGTATCCACTTCTAGCACTCAATTACCAAGAATTAAATAATGGAAGAAACGAATGTCACAGAACAGAAGAATCAGTGATTACCGCATTGCGACGCTGTTTATCAAACCAGCTTTTAGTAGACATCAAGGCATTCACTAAATCTGGCTCCACGGATGTCATATCTCTATCAGGTTCACGCAAATCAGTGTAATAAGAATCATAGCCTGTAACAAGAGACAATTGTATTGACAAAAGATCACGAGCCAACTTTGATAGGACAGGATATCGGGGACTTGCAGCTTTCCACCAACTCAGCACATAAAAGTTCTTGGTCCAAGGCACAATAGGTTCTTCCAGATAGCAATCAAGTTCTGACTTTGGTGGCTGACTAGTTGTTTGGATGAATTTGCTAAACTCATCTGAACAGTCAAATCCAAAACTAGGATCATTAACAACTTCCATTGGCTCAAGGAGATCTTCACTCGTACCAAATTCATCAGAAATGAGATCTTCACCCGTATCAGAATCTGAATCGCTCATAGGATACTCCATTGAGGACCTGTGCACCACATAGTCATCGAAAAGCCTTTGGATGGCCTCCAAAATAGATGATAGCGGTAAAAGATCATTACCTTCATACTTCAAGAAACAGAACTCTAAGTACTTCACTTTGTAGCGTGGATCCATAATAGTAGTTAGAGCCAACACCAAATACATATGCGTCCAATACTTGCCAAACTTTTTCAGCATATTATTGGCTAAATTTCTAGCAAATTCATCTGAACTCACAGAATCTTTCATCAGATTAAATCGAAGCTTATTAAGATTGTGGAAGTAAAGGCCTGCACTGGGTCGTTTTTCCATAAATAACACTTCTGCTGCAGTATAGACATGTCCTACAAGTTTACATACTCCCTTAACTTTTTCCCACTCTTGGGGAGAAGGTATATCATAATCCTTATAATCATCTTTTTTCAAGTATTCTCCTTTAGCCTCTAATTCCAATGCTTCCTGTAGTTTATGAAATGTCACATTCCACACTGGTGGTGATTTGCCCCAAAATACTATGAGACGAATGTCACTGATTATATCCTCTATCATCCCAAATGCTTTTTTCACCATTGAACTAAAAATGTCTGCATTACAAGATACACGAAAAAATTGTCCATCTAGCTGGAGTCTTTTCTTTTCAAGAAGTTTACTTTTAATGACATCAACAATCTCATCAAAGTCCAGATAGCTATGCACAGTGACAGCACATATTTTATCTTCAATACCAAAATCTGAAAGACACTGAATTGTCTCACCAACATAATCTCCATACGCATCAAGAGACCTAAAACTAACAACCCAACTTCTTAGCTTCCAGTCTTCGTCAATGAAATGAACTCTTAAGCAAATGAAATCAGAAAAAGATCCCCCAAAATCTGAGGTAGACCAGTAGCCAAAGTCATTGAATTTGTTATATTTTAGCCTCTCAACTGAGAGGCTAACTCGTCCATTCAAGCTTCTCAAAATTTCTTTAACTTTTGCTTTCTCTTCATCATACAATTTCAAGCAATACCGTGAGAGAATGGCAGATGAAGGACGAAATTTAGGATTAAGATAACTTATTAATTGTTTGAAGTACCTATCTTCT